AAAAAACAAAATAAACTTGAACAATAACCTGAAGTACACGTTTACTTAATTGAGTTTTTTGTGATAAAAGTTTTAAACCTTTAGAATCAGGATTATGATTTTGAGCAAAAAATGTTTTCATTATACGTAATTGATGATGTTTAAATGATGTTCGATTACGTTTTGTACGTTGTTGAGGATTTGTTACTGTTTGATTATTAAATATTGTTGATGAAAAATTTCCATCAGAATTTGAAAGATCATTTCCATGTAAAAAAGCTTCAAAAAAAAGAAAAACATAAATTTTTTTCTTTTATTTAATGAATTCTTCTTTTTGTTTTTACCTGATATTTCTAAATTATTTGTATTATTTTCAAGATTATTTAATTTTGTTCGTTGTTTACGTTGTGTTGTTGTACCATTTTGTCGAGATTTTTTCATATTTATATTTGCTGTTGTTGTTGTTGTTGATGATGAATTTTTAATTGGTGAACATAATGAAAATGTTGTATTTGTTGTTTGTTCCAAATGTAAACGACAAAATAATAATGAACCATGTAAACCATAATCATCTCCTGGTTTTAAAACAACATTACATAAACAACATGTAAAACAATCAATATGATATATATATTTGTCATCAGTACGCATAACTAATTCATTTGCTGAAATTATTGTTTGACATTTTGAACATTGTGGAAGATACATTGAACAAGAAGGATTTTGATAAGACCTTTAAATACAGGCAAAAACAAAAAAAAATAATCCACCATAAATCTTTTTTTTTTCAGTTGATCTATTTCGATCTATGTTGTTTCCCTTAAAGCAAATCGATGTTAGGTATTGTATTGACCCCCCATGACTAATATTGTTCATCGTGTATAGTTCTTTTTTTTTTCGATAATAATCTTTTATTTCTATTCACAAGTGATTTACTTATTTTGCTGCTTCAGGCAGTTCAATAGTTTTTTACTTTTGAATACCCCCAACTGTGTGTATGTATTGAGAATTATCGTTATTTCTTGAAAAATACAAAAAAAAAAATTCATTTGAAACAGCAGCATATTATATCAGTGATTTGATATGTGTTCAATAGTGTACTAGACGCGGATGATTGACAAAAAAACGCGACTGTTCACAGATAATGATGCTGGAAAAATGAATGAGTCAAAGAAAGAAGCTCTGACAGATCAATAGAATAAATGAAGCCTTTCCGATCAATCGATGATAAGACAAAACAGGTGTGATGAGAAAAAGAAAAACCTTAAGAAGAGAAGAATCTCTAATAAGCAATCGATAAGTCATTTGTATGATACTACTCGACACTTTTCAATTTATACGACACACGACATTAAATGACAACTATCGTGTTCTCTCATATATCAAATCTATTTGATAGATATGTCGTTTTTTCTTCATAATTAATTGTAACTGTCTACGCATGAATGCATTTTTCACATCGAAACATTTATTCATTGCTCGAGAAAAAAAAAAGAAAGTAAAATAAAAAAGAATCTTTTTTCAATAATCAAGGCTATTTCATTTTACTCACTTATTGTTATTAGCAATTTGATAATCATGTCGACAAATAAAATGTGATTGTTGATCATAACCATTTCGTACATAATAACCTCCACCAATTGTAATTAATGGTCGATGACATATATAACATGTTAAACAATTTTCATGAAATATTCCATGTTTATGTACACGTAAATAACTTTCATCTTTTATAATTAAACCACATGA